ATTTAAGTAATTGTTTGAAAACGGTGCCCAAAACATGCACATAAAAAAAAATTATTATGAACAAAAGCTTGGAGTAAATGAAAGTAACACTGAAGCTTGAAGCTTTAGCTTGTTATACTGAGTGTTTAACCTACTTTCAATGGCGATACTTTTTTATAACGAACTTTGATGTAAAACAGAAACAAGGTTATCAGTGTGCAAAGGCTTTTTCTTATGTTGTTAAGAGCTGATGAGGATGGTGTGCGCCACACGTCAGCTACCCAGTGTGACCTTGCTCAGTGCCTTTTACATCTGAGGAGGAATAGCCTTCTTTCTGTTCTGTATCAGCATACTCCTGTAAAAGCTCTGAGCCTCATGGACACCGGCAGAGAATGGGACATTGAACATCACGTAAAAAGGCCTGAAATTAAAATTGTTCGTGTAAAGAATGCTGGTGGCGGGCAGGAAACCATGACAACAGTTTTCGTAGAGGTTTTTTGAGGAGAACTGGCAGCTTACTTTTGCTACCGTTCAGTTTTAGGTTTGCTTGCATGGGTGTTTATGTCCCAGGGTTGAAGAATTCAAGGACTCGTTCCTTTAATTATTTCACAAACAAAAACATTCTTCACCAAAATGTGAACAAAGACTTGCTTTTTCTTCCATACATTGCTTTTACCTGCATTTAAGACACTGGTTGTCATTTCTCTGATCTGTGTTTTAGCTGCTGCAGGCTCAAATTGTTCTGCTGTGCTATGTTATGTTATCAAGGACTCTTCAAATCTTGCTCTTTGCTGATTTCTAAATCACCTTCTGCAATGACCTCTGTTCTATTTATCCTTCATCCTCTTTTCTAGTTTCATACTGGTGAGTGAAATCACCTTGAATTTTCTTTCTCTTAACATGAAACACACTCACACATGCACAGCCCACATGCTGCAGCAGCACCCACCTGATACCACAAGTACTAATCTGTCTTCATATAGACTTTTACAGTAAAAAAACAGCAACGCTTCAATTCCTATGAATCTGGGTACTCCACTGTTGTGGTTACAGTAGGTCTCAGCGTAACCGCAGCTATGGCAGTCATAGTAGAGTCTCAGCATGTTAAGAGCACTTTTACCTTGGAAATAAAAGTTAAAACTAGAGAGTGCACTCAACAACAAAGTTTGAGCTGCTCAGTTGAAGCGGCTGCCTGCTGTGCTGCGTTGTGTAGAATTGTGTTTGACATTTCAGATGTGTTTACCTTCTGTTTCTCTATACAGTATGCGTCCACATGTGCGCATGTCTGTCAGCATCTCTGTGTATGTGCAATGATTGCGAGCACAAAGCTTCCCAAAGAAGAATACGTGTGTTAGGCAGGGAAATGTCACGCATTCAGCGTCAAAAAGGCAAGAGACGGGAAGAAAGATGGATGAAAGCAACAGGACATGAGGCAGGAGGTTGAGGGTGGATGGATAGGAGGAAACATTAAAAGGCCAATCAAGATGGAAAGAGTGCAACATACATTTGGTAAGCTGGGGTCTGTGGACACCCATGTACTCTGCTAGTCAGT